TTACTAAGGTATTCTCTTTTTGTAGGTCTATAGCTTTCTGGGTGTTTCCTGAATGGAACTTTGAAGGTATTCTTCGAAGTTCTTTAAATTTTTATTTTTTTTAATAAAATTTTTTTTTTTAACGAAATTAATTTTTTTCTCTTTTTTTTGTAGCTTCGCAACTTTTTAGATGATATCTGAAGAGAATTTTGAAGGTATTCTTCAAAGTTCTTTAAATTTTGGATGAATACTTTAGATATATGCGCTGTCAACGTCATTAAAATACATTTGAAAGATGATTATATTTTAATAAGTTGGCATATATTGGGTTTTTTTTCTCAATTTTTATATTGTATTTTATTAATTTCAGTTAGTTATATTTGAAATTCTTTAACTTTATAAATTTATTTAGCTATATTCAATTTTGCAATTTTATTTGACAAATTTATTAGTAAATAAAAATACATAATAAAAAATATAATATATAATGACTGTGACGATTAGTAAATAATTTATTTTTTTGTGAATTATTGCAGAACTTCGTTCTTGAATTTTTTCACAGAATTTTGTTCTTGAATTTCTTGCAGAACTTAGTTCTTGAAATTCTTTGCAGATTTAATTTTGAAGATTTTCGCAGAACTTTATTTTCTTGAAATTCTGCGCAGTTTTTGATGAATTTTTTTTTCAAAGACTGCCGACAGGGTTGCAGATCTGCGCAAAAATGTCACCTGCAGATCTGCGTAGATCTGCACCCCAAAAAATTTCCCGATGTTAATATCGATATGATATCAAAATAAAGTATTATCACTTCGATATCATTTTGATATTAAATCGATATTGAAATGATATTGAAATGATAATTAAAATGATATCGAAATAACATCTTTAAATTAAACTTAAAGATGTTGTTTCGATATCATTTCTATTATCATTTCGATATCATTTCAATATCGATTTAATATCAAAATGATATCGAAGTGATAATACTTTATTTTGATATCATATCGATATTAAATCAATATTGAAATGATATTGAAATGATATCGAAATGATATTACTTGAAAACTTAAAGTTTCTGTAAAGTAAGATCTACCTAGATAAGTTAATCTAATGATAGCCCAACATGTGACCACCATGATCAGCATACTATAAAAACTGCGGTACCCAACCTGTCACCCCTTATCACCCGAGTGATCATTGATTTTGAAATTGTAACACCAAGCCACCATGACGATCAAATTTTCCAGTATCCCCCCATCCCCCAAAGAAAATAAGGTTACACTGAAAAAAGCGACCAAGAAAAACAAAAAGCAAAAAATAAAGACATAAACCTCAGGAAAACTCGAAGTGCAATGAGAAAAACCTGAGTAAAAAACACCAAACATACATCTCAACTCCGTCTCCTTATTTTAGAAGACTAACTCCCCCGTTAACAACATCAACTAGCAAGAAATACATTAGTCAGGAGCTCCTTCCAAGAAATACTGGTCCAGCCTGCGAACCACTTGGCCAGTTAGACTTTAAAGGCGTAAGAACCAAGACGCACTACTTTTCAACCTTTCAGAAAGCCCAAAGGAACGTTTATATGGAACTGCCATCTTACAGTATTATTGGTAACTCCAAGACTCATGATAATAGTCCTAACTCAATATAAGCCGTAAGGAGTTCAGGCAAAACTAAAGACCTCGGTAATAACTTCATATAACGTTAAAAAGTCCTTTTACTATCACTCAAGGTAAAAAATCCTCATATTTTTCATCTATGTCTTCTTGGGAAAAAATGGGCAGAGCCCAACGGGAGAGAAAGTACGATGATCCTCACTACTGGTCAAAAACTAGGCAAACGTGGCATAGTAGCCTTTATCTTTATTAAATTTATTTGAACTTTACAATTTACAAAAAATAAAAAGAAAAATATAAAAATAAAACTAACTAAAAACAAAGCTATATAGNGCCTTTATCTTTATTAAATTTATTTGAACTTTACAATTTACAAAAAATAAAAAGAAAAATATAAAAATAAAACTAACTAAAAACAAAGCTATATAGTCTCCTAAGAAAAAATAAAGTAAAAAATTAATCTAAAAAAGAAAAATCGCATTACATTAAATTTTCCCAGATCTTTCCCCTTGATATATTCCAACCAAAGTAGAAGCAACTATGCTAACAAAATGACGAATAGTGCGCCCACTATAAAAATCGACACTCCATCCTGCAAAAGCTGTTATTAAGTAGCATCATTAGACGACCCATAAAACCTGAAAAGTGATTAAACCAAGGCAAACCATATTTTATCGAGTTCTTCAACCAATCGGTTTCGGAGTCACGTGAATCGGGTAGGGTTGAAGGTGGTAAAGATGAGTAAGGTATGTACGTTGACAATGGCAAATTAGATGGCTTCGAAGTAGTTTTCAACTTATAAGTAATGTTCATTGCGTTTTCCCATCTACTTTTCTCATAATAATGCGGATTTCAAATTCGTCTTCTGAATTTCTGAATAAAATTGTTATGGATAGCAGCGACAACCTTTATCGCAGAATTTCTTGGAATAGATAAATCAACAAATAAGTCGATAAAGAGCCTGGATAGACAACCTCGCACAAGGGCATAGGAGGACCAATTTGTAGATGAAAAGGACCAGCATAAAAGAGAAGTAAGTTTAGTAATAAACGGAGTTGGATCAATATCAGCCAATTTTCCAGCTTCTTGAAGTTTAGAAATCAAATAGCCTTAATAGGATTGGAGTTTTTGTTGCATAGGTAAGCGACGTCATTTGCACATAAAAAGGTGCATCAAATCTTCCATGCGGTCGATACAGGAACAGCAAGATAATTCGTCTATGTATAAATCTGGTCGTGTTCTTTTAAGCTTTTCCAATGTGGGTAATTCGTCCAAGAAAAGTTTGAATTTCAAGGATCGGTGCCTCGAAGCATGTTTAAAAGTAAAGGAAGCGTTATGAGAGGGTTCGAATTTCAAAGTGAACCAAGTAAGATCCCAGTCAACAATGTAATCTATATTAGATAATAATAAAAAAGTAAAGTGAAAACGCAATTAATGTAACAAATCACGCATCAACTGCGTTTGGTAATATTGTTTAAGAAGGTGTCTTGGATTGGATTCGCAGACAACATCATTGTCATAAGTTAAGACAAAATCATGGGCAAAAGCAAGGTCCATTCTAGAAATCAAAATACTGGATGACGCAGTATGAGCAGTATTGGCCAAAGAGTCAGCAAAATCGTTTAAATAATTGCCAGAGTGAGCTTTAACTTTAACGGGAAAGACAGTCAAGTTCTTAGAGAAGATGTTTCATTCAATGATAGCCCAAAACTCAAAGTTTGTAGTTTTGTAATAAAGTCGGCTATTTGAATAAACAGAGGAAGAGCAACCTCGAAGGCCATCAATGGCAGTTTGCGAGTCAGTATAAATAGTAACTTCTGAGTCACGAGAAGATATGGTTAAAACTGCGTAAATAGCGGCAGCTTCAGCTCGAGAAAAAGAGGGATTATCCCAAATAATGCTATGCGCATAAGTAGCAATGGAGTTAGGAAAGCCAGCATCTAGTACAATTTGCATCTAAGACCAGCCCATGGAAACATCAGGAGTTCCTAAATTAATAAGAGACCTATTAGTGTAAAAGATATAACGTGATTCTGCAGAAACAACTAATGGAGAGTTCACAAAAACAGCAGCAGCAGAAGATTCAACAGTGGTAGGAATAGCGGAAGCTGCAGTGGCATCTGTAGGAGAAGGATCAGAAACAAAATTTAATTTACTATAATAGAGACGGATACCATCTTTAATATCAGCCCAAGTAAAGGGGGGAGGTTACTTCGGAGGTGGTAGTTTTAATCCGCTCATTTGTAGTAGGCAAAATGAGCGAATGTTATAGAGAGACTGACAGTATATAAAGAGTTAAATCAGCATTCCGTTTTTTGGAAGGAGGAAGAGGAATGTGAGCAACACAACCAGGATGAGGAGAAAGTTTGATAAGATCGCCTGGCGAGGATTCGCAGTTGGGAGAAATTCAATGAACAATGGAACAAGTACCACGACCTGCTTGAACCAAAAGTTGTTTACCGAAGATGGGAGAGCCGAGATCATCCAACGTAACAATCCAATTTTTGGTAGTGGGAGGAGAGGAAAGACAAGGTTCCAACTCATAAAATGAAGAGTCATTCGTAGGCACGATGATAAAATCGTCGAGTAAACGATTATTAGAGTCAGGTATAGTGGTAGTTTGTTGGATATCTTTGTACCAATAAGGAATACGGCCAGGATAAGGTTGCTTGTCAAAACCTCTCCAAAATCCTGCGATAAATTTCAGCAAGATTTTACTATATATTTACTATAGTTTCGGCAGGGTTTCAACAGTTTCGGCAAATGGGGGTTTCGGTATTTCGGCAAAGTTTCGGCAGGATTTTTAATATGATTTAATATAGTTTCAGCATTTTCCGTATAGATTTCAGCAGTTATTAAGAAGGTTTCGGCAAGCAACCTTAGGCCAGGATCACGTCTTCCAACCAAGTTGTCATAATAAGCCTTCCAAGAGATTAAATGAGTCTCTTGAGGAGTAACGAGCTGAAATAAATAAAACAGCTTTCGTTTACGCAGGATAGGAAGATAGGCTTTAAAAGCTTTAGGCGTCATGCATTTAAATAAAGGAACACGTTCATCTAACAGGGATAAGTTCGGAAGCTTCGAAAGTTGAGTATGAAGCAAACGAAAAAGGGTAGAATTCAGGAGAGCAATAGTGCATGCGATATAATCCTTCTTAAAGGAAGAAAGAATAGACAATATAGACCAGTCCTTAATTAAGAGAAGAAAAATAGGAATCAAAAAATTGTATTGAAGTAAACACAATAAAAGAAGAAAAAGAATTAGCCATTAAAAATAAATTAGTAATATGACAATATCGTTGATGAGCAAACAAATTAATCAAGCCCAATGCTTGTGATAAAAATAAAATAGGGTTGGGAAGAGAATGAGAAAAATTTGCTTTGTGTTTCACAACAGATCGTATACTTCTTGTTATAAGGTGACAGTCAGATTCAGACGACATGCAAAAATCATCATCAATGGTATTCGCCTCTTTCTTAAGTTAAAGACTCTGGACATTGGTGTCGCATATGCAATTATAATAATATTGAAGTTGCAAAAGCATTGGCTCGTACTAGAGATGGAGAATGTCTTTCTTCAGAGTATTTTGACAATAAAAGTCCTTTACAGTGGAAGTGTGTTAAGGGGCATATATGGACTGCGAACTTAAATAAAATAAAAGATTACAACCAGTGGTGCCCTACTTGTGATGGGCGAAATCCGACTATATTTGATATGAAAATTCTAGCACAAAAAAATAACGGAGAATGCCTTTCAGATCAGTATTATGATGCACACACAAAACTTTTATGGCGTTGCAAGAATTTTCATATATGGGAAGCTCCTCCACTAACTATTCTGAGAGGTAGCTGGTGTCAATACTGTGCTGGTACTGCAAAACTTGATATTGAAATTGCTAATCAAATTGCATTATCGAGACAAGGCCAATGCCTTTCAGTGGAATACAAGAATATAAGCGCACCACTTCTATGGGCTTGTCAATATAATCATCAATAGTAGTCCTCACTTAGTAGTATAAAACATTCTGATACATGGTGTCCATACTGTGCAAGTATGGCTAAACATACTCTTGATGATGCTAAGCAAATTGCTCTCACTCGGGGTGGTAGGTGTCTTTCAACAGAATACAAAAATAATAAATCTCCTTTATTATGGATCTGTAAAAATCGGCATAAATGGTATGCAAAATTCGATAATATTGTGAATAAATGCTCATGGTGTCCATATTGTAGCATAGTAAGTATAAATGTGAAAATCTATGTCGTCAAATCTTAACAAAATATTTGGGCCCTCTATCAGAAAATCGTAAGCCTGATTTCTTAAAAATACCAGAGCATTCAATGGGGCTACAACTTGACATTCCTTATTATCACTATGGTTTTGCAATCGAAGTACAAGGAGAACAGCATGATAAATATATAGAATTCTTTCATAGAGGAAACCTGAATAATTTCATCAGACAGCAAGAGCGGAATCAATTCAAGAAAGAATTATGCGAAGAAAATTGCATCAACCTAAAATATGTCTGGTATTACAAAGATCCACATATAGTTATTCCAGAGTATCTTCGAGAACTGGGTCTTATAGAATAAATATGAAACTTTAAATGCGTGTATTTCATTAAAATCCTTATTTTTTCGATATAGTAATTTCATGCTCAGTCCAACCAAATGAGAAAAATGGAGTATTATATATATCATCTTAACGAGACCAAAAATTTAAAGAATATGAATCACCCTGCAAGTCCTGCGTTTCCTTTTCATTTGTTAATTTGCGGTAGACCAGATAGTGGAAAAACTAATATGATTCTTAATCTTCTTCTTGGAAATAAAATTCAACGTTTATTTAAGGAAAAGAAAGGGTGCGGTATGTCAAAAATGATGATCTAGTCTTAATCGGAAAGCATATCCATGAACCCAAATGGGTATTAGTAAAAAACTGCTATGAAATTTTTGCAAAGGGTCCAAAAGCATATCGAGAGAATGTAACATTTCGTGCGTTAAAAGCAGATGCGATTCCAAATATAACTAAGTTCTCACCAGATAGAAACACTGTTGTAGTCTTTGAGGATCTTTGCGCTGAATCAAAAAAAATTCAGGATCGGATTGTTCCATATTTTATCAGTGGCCAACATCAAGGTGTATCAAGTATATATGTGAGCCAGAAGTATACACAAACTCCTAAAATTATTCGCGAGAATATCACCCATTTAGCTTTATTTCGAGGCTCAGGAAGCCGGGACGATATCCATAGAATCGTGCGACAATATACGGATGATCCAAAAAAAGCATCCAAGATTATTGACAAACATTTGCGAGATCAAAATTTTGTGGTCTTCGATTTTACTAAGGCATTTGACGATCCTCTCGCAATTAGATTAGGTTGAAACACGCCCTTAAAATTGGATGAGTAGGGTTCGTTTCTGCTCTTTCGCATTTATTCTCATGTTATATTATATTCCATATACATAAAAAAAATCATGTGCACATTCTGTTCTGAAACACCAATAAAGAAAAATTTCTATACAGGCATGTATTACACGCATTAGCCAAACAAACAAATTTTTTACTTATCTTCAAGCAAAAATATTATATGGATCATATGATTAATAGCATACGAACTACTTTTATTTCATGCAATTTACATTACACTGCATATTAGTATGTTAAAGAATACGAGATAAACACGTAGATAGATATACATAATTTTTGACCAATCCACCGATTTAACCAGTTTAACCTAATTATTCTTCTTTTTTCTAGGAGAAGTTTTCACTTATTCGATCTTAGAATCATCATCACTTGATTCGGAAATAGGATTTGTAATATAAGACATTATACTCTTAGTACTCGAAATAATCATATCCTAATTTTCGAGAATAACATTACATCAATCAATATCTTTATATGTATTCAAACATTTCATGCAAAAACTTACTCGCATCGTCCACAAGTTTGAGGCGAACTTTGGTAACTCTTTGAAGAGCAAAGCTGGTATTGTTGAATAAGAGAACTTTTTTTTGAGTTCAAAATAATATACACCAGCAAAGGGCATACACATGCTGTAAATATAAAAGTCATGATCTGTATGGATTTATGAAGAAAATCTGAATTTACTTATAATGGAAATATTGATCCAGCCATAGAACTTACTATATATTTGAACGCCGTATACTTTTATTCTTTTAAACTCTTCGAAATTGCCTGGATAGTTGACTTTAATAAAGTTCAGTATGATCTTTAGCATCTTGGCAGTTTTATTTCTATCCCCAACATAGTGGGTATGGTCAGGACATGATGGAGATCCTGAAACTTCCAAAGTTGACACCTCCAAATCAAAATCCACCATTGATATAATTGCGTCAATTTTATTTCCGGTACACCGTCGATCATCATCTCTTAATGATTGGTTCAGCTGATCAGCAGAGCATTGCAAGGTTGATTCACCCCTGTTGAAACACAAGCCAGCAAAATAAAGTTAATAATAATAGTAATTACTCAACGCGCTAAATTTGACTTAAACTTACTACCTACAGTCCAAAAAAACTGATCTTCGAATAGCATGGTAAAGATATGGGAAACAAATTTAATTATGTAATGTCCTTCTGTCTTATTTTCTTTGAGGCAGTTTCTGCCATTTGAAAATTGTTTCCAACTATAGCAAAGTAGTAGTTCAATGTTAGAACAAAATCAGATTACAGTATATGAAGTACGCAGGATACTTGCAATATTTCCATCAAATCTAAAACCCGTTTCCTCCATATTGTATTTCCATTTTCCCGTAGCTTTTCACACTCTATTCTGATTACATCACGTAATTTTTCCGCGATATTCTATGAAGTAAACATAAATATAAGGAATCACCAACAAATCAAAGTCTAACCTTCTCTACTTACCACATTTTTCAATATACTTTTTATATATTGTTTGACATCATCTGCCCTTCCGTCTTGTTCTATGTCCTGGTCAATCGAAGTTAAAGCGGAAGCAGATTCTGGAGCTAATGATGTTGCATCGGGGCTAGACGTTAAAAATTCTTCTATTGTTCCAATAATATCACCCCAATGCTTTCTGAAGAAATTTCGTGCTTCTGTTGCAGAAGATTTGGCCGTATCAAGAATATTATAACGCATTAGACTGTAAAAAAAAGTTTTCAGCATCTAGGGTATATATATATCAATGGAGTATTCAACAGATGTACATACTCTTGTTTATGTATTTCTTCAACATATCTTGATGAGCGACGCTATTGCTCCATTTTTGATCTAACGCACATATTCTTGACAATTAGCTTGCAATCGACGGTGATATCAACAGGGGTTTCATTAGGAGATCATCTTCAGAAGTATCATCTTTATAACCATGTTCTTTACATACGAAAGAACTTGATGAAGTATCATACGAAAAATTTTGATGAGGCAGAGTACGTGGCTCGGAACTATTAATTTTGTTTATATTACTAGTCATTTCCGCACTAGACCCTGCGCTTTCTAAGCTTGACGAAAATGGTATTGGTACTCCTGGTGATGATGATGCGTTCGGTGCTCCTTGTGATGGTGATGGTCTTGGCACTCCTTGTGATGATGAGGAGGAGGATGGCGTGTCTTTCGTGGTTTTGGCCTGTTTACACAAAAAAATAGAAAAATTTTGAGAAGAATTCATGGTAACAAATCCTTATAATCATAGGGATGCATCTTATACCGACTTTCTTAGCTGAACCAACTGACTCTTTATTCTGTAGATGTAATAAATCATTAAAAAATGGTTGCATAAAATTCATTGCAACGTAAGACCTTATCAATATCCTAACCTTTTTTGGAAGAGATAACTTTTTCCGCTTTGGTATACAGGCAGGCATGAAATCATCGTCGGACTGAATACAAATTAAATTACCTTTATCAGACAGCCAACATTTTGTAGATTCTCTTATAGCAAAAAAATGCTTACCAGTGCTTTTTCCAGCACTGACTTTCTTCTATCTTCAATTGCGGTGAAGTTCATGTTTTTACTTTGGTCAAGAGCATAATTTAACTAGTATAAAAGAAAGTATTAGGTTTAAATTTTGTGTTCATGTAAGCAACAGCCAAAAAATCCTTACATCTTCAGATTCAATCTGAAATAATTTCAGTTCATTATGAGTTTTGACATATTGAATTTTTTCATGTAGATTTTGAGTATTGCGATCATTCCAGAACTTCACAACTTCTGGAGAGCGTTTAATATCCTAGAAACTCAAGAACATAACAATCGTTAATGGTTAATTTATTACAACCCAAATTGCGTCTATTATAAGATACAAAACATGACAGACTGCAACGAACTCAAAAGGATCAATACTGGGCGACTCAAAAGGACACACCAGTGTGTCATAGCAATTGATTCAAAAGGACCTGCCAAAAGCCAATTGACTCAAAGGGACAATTTTACCCAATGTGCGGAACTCAAAGGGATCCATAAAGCTACTAGGGTGGGCTTTTGACCTGTCAACTGAATCTAATCATAAAAAAACATACCTGCCAATTATTAAGTAGCCCCTGTGCCTTTTGTCTATAAATGTTGTCTTTGTCGTTAATGATAATTTTCTGAAGTAAGGACTTAAACGCACCGTGTTCTTGATTGCAGTCATTTAAAACCAAGTTTTCAGACCTCCATTCTAAAAAATTAATAAGTGACCACCGAAGTGGATCGATCTCCTGAAAGTAGCTGTTGTCGATCTCCTGTAAGTTGTTTGAAATTTGTTCCATGGAAATTTTTGTATACAAGTTAACGATCGGTGAGAAAAAATTCTTTTATGTACAGTATATGAGAAATCAACTGTCGTACAGATTGATATGATGATCCCGTTCACACGTGTTAATTCTTTTGCTTGACCGCTTATACTAAGGCAGGTAAAACGCTATATAATATGCTTCAGTCAAATGTAATAAAAATAGCCATCCCTCCAGAGCAATATACATATCAGTAAATGCTATTCTGCTAAAAATTATTCAGCTAAATGTTGCAAGGAAAAAAAATCGAAATATTTTGGGGATCGATTTCTTATGTGTGAAATTTATTTTGGAGGAATCTTACCACACTATTGTGTGATGTTTTTGTCATATGGTCACGTGCTGACCTGTTTACGTTTTTTATTATGTTTCTGAGGGACTTAGTTTTTTTTTACTAGCCTGATCTCTATTTGTCACTGCATTATATATCACCTGTACTATCACGTTTAAAGTACTATTTATATTGTGACAGGGTAGTGTGGTAAGATTCCCATTATTTTGTCGCACAAGCAGTCACACAGAGCTACAGCTGATTTGGGCGGTGTATCACTTATTACATCATATGCACTTTAACGAGGATCGAAAACATGCTAATTTATGTCACACATGCCAACATGCATTGGCCTTAAAGCTCCGAACGGGTCGGTTTGGTCCGGATTATAGACAGTTTGGATTAGAGCCGAAATCTGTAAGAACCGAACCGAAAAACCAGCAGTTCAGTTCGGTTTAATCCGATTTTTTATAAAAATGTGAAAAATCGAATAGCCGGCCATCTAGTGATCATACAAAGTCGAGCCATATATCATTGGATTCGTCTCGACGAGACGCGTCGAATGGTGGTAAGCTCATGTCTCTAGCATCGATAGATCACACGTTAGCCCACGCTAAATGATTTATAAATAATTGGAATTATCAAGCTATCTATCGGTGCTAGAGACATGATCTTAGCACCATTCGACGCGTCTCAGTGAGATGAATCCAATGAATATAAATTCGTCCGTGTATGATCACTGGATGGCGAAAAACATCAAGTTTCGCATTTTTTTAAAATTTTCAAGTGTTAAAAATTAAAAATTCCGATACATGAATTTATTCGTCGTCCAATGGTCGTACAAATATGAATTAGGACTCATTGGATTCGTCTCGATGAGACGAGTCGAATGGTGGTAAGATCACGTCTCTAGCATCGATAGATAGCTTGCTAATGCCAATTTTTTATAAATCATTTAGCGTGAATTAAAATACGATCTATTAATGCTAGAGACATGATCTCACCACCATTCGACTCGTCTCATCGGGATGAATCCAATGAGTCCTAATTCATATTTGTACGACCATTGGACGACGAATAAATTCATGTATCGGAATTTTTAATTTTTAACGCTCGTAAATTTAAAAAAATGCGAAACTTGATATTATTCGCCATCCAGTGGTCGTACACGGACGAATTTATATTCATTGGATTCGTCTCACTGAGACGCGTCGAATGGTGCTAAGATCATGCCTTCAGCACCGATAGATAGCTTGCTAATTCCAATTATTTATAAATCATTTATCGTGAGTTAACGTGTGATCTATCGATGCTAGAGACGTGATCTTACCACCATTCGACGCGTCTCGTCGAGACGAATCCAATGATATATGGTTGGACTTTGTAGGATCACTAGATGGCCGGCTATTCGATTTTTCGCATTTTTATAAAAAATCGGATTAAACCGAACTGAACTGAACTGAATTTTGAGCCGGTTTCGGATCAGTTCCCCGGTTTAGCCCGAACTGTTCGGAGCTTTAATTGGCCTTAAGGCGCTTCGCATGGCTAGACAATATATTATTTTATTAAGACAATATTCGGGATCTAGGTCAAGGACTGATCTGGAAAATTCGGCAGGTGATATAAAAAATGAATTGCGGTATCGGAATTCACTTTTTTATATTGATTTTATATATAAAAAGTGAATTGCGGTATCAGAATTCACTTTTTTATATTGATTTTATATATAAAAAGTGAATTGCGGTATCAGAATTCACTTTTTTATATTGATTTTATATATAAAAAGTGAATTACGGTATCGGAATTCACTTTTTTATATTGATTTTATATATAAAAAATGAATTGCGGTATCGGAATTCACTTTTTTATATTGATTTTATATATAAAAAATGAATTGCGGTATCGGAATTCACTTTTTTATATTGATTTTATATATAAAAAATGAATTGCGGTATTGGAATTCACTTTTTATATTGATTTTATATATAAAAAGTGAATTGCGGTATTGTGATTCACCTTTTTATACGATTTTAATATAAAAAGTGAATCGCAATATTTCAAAAAAAAAATGTTTTGCACCATTTTTTTTTGATATTTTAATAAAAATCCTGAAATTTTTCAGGTTTCAGTTCAGGTCGGGTCAAACAGATAATCTGATATAACTTGACCTGACCTGACCTGAAAAAAAATTTCAGGCCAGGTTTATTAATTAACCTGACCTGACCTGATCCATTCAGAACTCTAACGCCAGATTTTACATTTTTTCATTAAAAAAACTTTTTTTTTGTTTAATTTAAGGCGGCACAAAGCTAATAAATTGGTTCTCATAACCCGACCGGGTCAATGAAGTGTAACCCAAAAATTTTTATTTTATATATATACATATAATTAACCAATAAAAATGCTCAATCTAATATCATGTGATAAACCAATTTTATTAGCATACATGTACGCATATAACGCATTCAATCATCAATCATGCAACGCATTTTTTTTATAGTGTATTTTATATGAGTTTCATTTTATTAAAAATAAAATTCATTCATGCAATGCAAACACCAGGCCCGTATTAACGAACCTATAATAACGAACCTATAATAACATTACAAAGTACAAGCCAAAAAAATAAACCTAAACTTTTTTTGCTTCCCTTTGTCTTTATTACCACCTTGTTTCCATTTCAGACGTTTCTTTGAGACAATAGTATCGCTATTACAGCCACTACAATGTGGGTGTTCATCTTTTGTTACTCTATTGACGTCTAAGCTTCCACACTCAATGCAAACATCTGGGTAAATTCCGGCTGAGTAGTATGGTTTTTCAATTGGCGAACTACAGGACCATGAATCATTAACGAAAACTCTTGAAAATAACTCATATATAGAATCCTCAGTAGCATTATCAAGCTCTTTATCTATATCTATTTCAAATTCTTCATTTCTATTATCTAAGTCTTCTGGTTCGTTCTGTTCATCATTATTAGAAGCATCCTCCTTTTCCATATTTTCTTGATCATCCTCACCATTGTCTTCTGTAATATCATCACATATGTCTTGTTTTGGTGGAATAGCTATTGCCAAATCATACGTATTATAAAATGACATACCGCAAGTGTAGAGTATTGTATCCAAAAATCCTTGAAGTATTGTCTTGTCTTTTTCAGAAAGTTTCTTTGCACTGAATAAAAGACAAGGCTTCTCACATTCAACACAGCTTACAGTAATACCAACATTTTTTGCATGTACAGCAGAAGGGCAAAATGGCATAGTATGTTTTACTTTTGTTGTTTTCATCTTTTCTTTTGTTTTTTTGACATTCTTAAGCGAAGGTCTATGATCTTCCGTTGTTTGTTTACCATACAACTCTTCAAATGATTTATAATGCAAATCATCTCCAGGTACTGGATCCAGAAGTCTATGCAATTGTTCAAAATCTTCAGGCAAACAACAAGGAAGACGGCAGATGGTGCAAGTAGATTCACCACATTTTTTGATTGTAAAAGAGTAATGTCTTGCAGTACAACAATGTTCTATGAATTCTTGTAGAAACAACTTCAAACAAAGGTTGTTAATTTAGTTTCTTTTTATGCAGGTATAAACTCAATTGATATTTAATACTTACCCTTTGTTTTATATGTTCTGCAGTATGGTCCTCATGGGTAACGCTATCATCCACAAGCTGAATTGTTTCCCAGAATTTCTCCATTTCTATTTCTGATGCTGCAGTAAACGTTTTAAAGGGTTAGCTTTTAAGAGATTGGTGGTTGAATATATCATTAACCAAACAGATCGGAGATTGAAGACTATCAATGAGATCTTCTTTCAAGGTAGGATTCTCCATGGCAATTTTGCGGATTTCATTCATTGTGCCACATTTGCTTATTAATTTCTCTGATTCATCATTCATTTCAGCTCGCATCAAGCCAACACTTTGCAATCCTAAATTTAAAATTGACATTATATGCTCAACAGGATTTTTCCATGAATGTTGTGGAGGAGTTTGAACGGCAACAAAATAATCAAGATCTAATGCAAGAAAAAGGCAAATATATGAAAGTTGGACACGGGCATATGTGCATCGGTGATCTGGTCCACCATCAGTGTAGAGGCATAGTACAGGCTTATCAACAAGCTGTTCTTCAAGAAGTATACTATATAATTCTGTTGCATGTCGAAGAGGTGAAGAAGGCTGAAAGATTGGATCCTTTAACCCAATGCATACCTTTCCTGCATAGAAATCAATATTGATTGATTCAGGTATATCACATATCATTGCTACACTTGGTATTATTCCTGTTTTAGTGAAATCATGATCAGCAACTATGAATGTAGTGTCTTTACTAAGGTTGCTTGCCGAAACCTTCTTAATAACTGCCAAAACCTATACGGAAAATGCCAAAACTATATTAAATCATATTAAAAATCCTGCCGAAACTTTACCGAAATGCTGAAACTCCCATTTGCCGAAACTGCCAAAACCCTGCCGAAACTATAGTAAACATATAGTAAAATCTTGCCGAAATTTATCGCAGGATTTTAGAGAGGTTTTGGCAAGCAACCTTAGTCTTTACTTACTACGACCTTCTTTCCTCTTTCTACTGCAACAACAGGAAATCCGGGTTCTCCAACTTTGCAACGGTGCTTGTCATCCAAAAAGACTAAATTTGTAATTTTGCGAAATTTAACAGCAAATTCCTTTTCATAGCGAAACAATGCCGATGCATAGTGGATATCAGGATGAGAAGCCCGTAATTGCCGTGTTTGAACCATAAATTTTAAAGGTAAAAGATCAGTGAATTGTAAACTACTAAGTCGAGTTGGGTTTTTAGACCAAAATTGTAACTGCAACCATTGTGCACTAGGGATTGGTGTTTCAGGTGGGCATTCACGCTCTATTTGGTGTAAAAGATCATTTACTGAGATTGCAGTAGCAAGATGTACAATTGTATCATGTCTACGTTCATCTACAGCAGTTACAGCATCTGCTGCCTTTCCTTCAAGAAACTGAGCTGCGATTTTCCAGAAAGTATCATATTTGCTAGGTTTTCCACTATTATGTTCACGTAGATTAATGGTGATATCTGGATCTCCAAGCTCCAAAAACATTTTAACACGTTCATTAACTCTTGCTTCATTTGCTGTTTCAGCCGCTGAGACATCTCCTGTTAGCATTCTATAGATTGTTCGAAATGATGATAGCTTGGCCTTTGGAAGAAGCAATTCACATGTACGTAGGTAGTTTATCCGCATTGTTCGTGTATGATAACGAGGTGCATTAGCTTGTAGTTGACTTACAATCTGTTTATTCTCTTGCAAAATCTTTATTTCAGTAGCTTGTTCATCGATTTTCCATATCAAGATTGCATTAAAAGCATTGTTTCCTGAGTTGAATTAGTACTCTCCAATTTCGTAGGTAAATGCATGAGATAAGCCCTGAATGTAACGCATTCTTTGCCTACATTAATTTATTCATTAATATCATATATTAAATATTTTGAGAATATTATTTTTTTTACTTACATAGGATCAGTTGGCAAGTATTCTTCAATATCAACTGGTTCCCATGGTAGTAAATCGATGAGAGATTGTTCAAGATGATAATATTTATTCTTATCAATAGGTGTTATCCAAATATTCTTCTTATAAACTTTTATTGTTGTTACTTGATTAATAGTTCGTATAGGAATTTCTGATGCATGATTCTTAGCAGTAATATCACGTTTATGTTGCAGAAATATAATATAATTCGAAATAACAATAATGAAATCATCAAGTACATCACGGAGCCAATTAAAGTTTTCTCTTAAGATCCATGATAATGTAACATATGGAGCAAGAGCTTGACAATGCAAGTTTAATTCATTTGCATCAAAGGGTTTTTGTGATTGCTTGTATGATTCTGGATTTGCGCGACTAAAAAACTCAAGGAAAAGCTTAGGTATGTGATAATTTCGTTCTTCTAGTTTCTTATGATCATGCATATCGATATACCAAATTGTTTCTGTTAAGCTAACAATAAATTCCTTTCCTTGCGTGTCAGCACATAATTTAGTGGGCCACCCACTGCCATGACTGTGGATCCAATCAACAATATCATTACGCAATTTTTGCTTACGATTTACCTTTTCTGACTGTGGAAATGTTGGCAAATGCAACTGGAATTTGTGTGCATTTTGCATCAAGATTGTAAATCCGTTTGATTGTACTTGAGTAGCTTCAGTATCATCAGATTTTAGTCGATAGTGTAAATGTATTCCTATATTTCTGGTAAGTTCTATGATATTACAGTTAATACTGACTTGAATTGCAATGCTGGTTGGTATTTCACTTAATTCAACACGTTCTATTTTTTCAGAACTTGTTACGGCAATATTGCATTCAGAGGATAGTTTCTTATTAACTAGCTTTGTAAAAAAATCTTTTATTGACATTTCACAAGAAATAGGATGGATGTACCATCCATGGAGTATTCTTATCCCTTTAGAGATGCGAGTATTTACAAGTAGCATGTTCAAAAAAAAGGTATTTGTAAAAGATTTGGAGAAAATACATCTTTTCGCGTTTTTTTATATTTAATAATGTATCGCGAATTTGCTATAATTTTATTTCTATTAGGGGCGTAGTCTCAAAAAGGAAAGCTGAGTAATTGACCGATTTCCAATATAATAGTATATGCAAGACTCATATTACTTTATATAAAATAACAAAAAGGGGTTATATTTTCATTTTTTTTTCTATATATAATATTTTATCCAAATGATTTCCCACGCCAATTCACCAAAGTAATTCTGCTTAACTATAAACTGTTCATTACCTGAATGAAAACTCGAAAATTAACTTGATATATATAAATATACAAATATATTGATTTATTATAATAAAAGTTTATACGGAATATAGTTAATAAAGAATCAATATTAATAATATTAACATGAAATTTTTGATTGGACGTCAGATTGTGGAACACATGACTAAATTTTATTGGTTAAAAAATTTTTATCCTTAGAAATAAAAATCCGGACGGCCGGGTCAAATCAAATAAATTTTGTTATGAGAACCAATTTATTTATTTTGTGCCGCCTAATGAAAAACGTTAGGTTTAACATTTTTAACTAAAAAAAAAATTTTTTTATATATCTTTTAATAAAAAATATCAGATCTGACGTTTTTCATTAAAAAAACTTTTTTTTTATTTAATTTAATGAAAAACATTAGATTTGATATTTTTAGTTAAAAAAAACATTATTTTATGTTTCTTTAACTAAAAAAAAAGATTTTTCAATGAAAAAACATCAGATTTGACATTTATAATTAAAAAAAACTTTTGTTATTTTTTTTTAATGAAAAATGTCAGGTTTGACATTTTGATTAAAAGAAGACGTATTTTATTATTATATTTAATGAAAAACATCAGATTCAGATTTTGGCATTTTTTATATATAAAAACATCAAAATGTTTTTTTTTAACCCAAAATATATCGAATCAACAGATTGGGTCAGGTACCCAATTGTAATTAACCTGACCTGAGATCAGGTTATTAAATTTGCTACTTGACCCGAATTTTTTGGATCAACCTGTTAGGTCATCCGATCTGTCAAGTTAAATTCGATGTTCTAGCTCAAGTATAATTTGGAAAGAAATTATAGTTGAATATCAACTATCTTTTATAAGATGATTAAACTTAATGCTTTTTTAATATTATTGAATAGCATTAGAAATGCAAAGAATATAACATCAGCTTCATAATACTAGTTGATATAAAGATGTCAAAAAATTCAAGAATATTGTTAATTGTGATTGAAAAAAACTTTTATATCAGTTTAATGAAATTATTTTTTTGAAATATGATATGATGAGAATCTGAAAATTATGATTTCTTAGAAGATATATAAAGTTAAAAAATATATTGATTAAAAAGACTTTAATCTTTTAATATATATATATGGTTTATATAATAACTCAATATCATGTAGCTAGTACTTGAATTTGTAATTGTATATAA